GCTTCTTATATATGCGTTTGTTCTACCACACGATGAAGGAAAAAAAAGAGACAACTTAAGGAGTCCTGGTTGAACCAGACAAGAAGCCTACTTAACAGAAGACTTTCTGAAATATGAATTTTTATCAACCATTGTTAATCATAAACCTTTCAGCAAGAGTATATTTTGCCTTGGGATATTACCTAATGAGATGAAGCTATCATTATTAGCTTCCAGAACATGACTGCAATTCATTTTTTTCCAGGTAATCATGTTCTTTTCAATTCAAGATTTTACAAAAATTTTCTAACTTCATTTCTAGATTTTTAGAAGCCTCTTTTAAGGATTCCTACACATACACACACAGACACACGAAGTTTTAGAGAAAACTAAGTATTACCACAGATGAATGGAGGGACTGCTTTGGCTACAATTAAAAAAAAAAAAAAGATACCATGAAATCATCTTTAAACTAAACAACAGTTTAGCTCAACGGTAAAGAATGCTTGCCTTGAGCAGTGCACTCTTAAAGAATTATCTATATGAAAGGGGAGTGGGGGAAGAGGGAGAAGTACTCTCTAGCAAGTAGTCACTTTGTGTTTCTAGAAATGGGAAAAGTGGCACCGAATGTGGGTGAAGTTTGCACAGCATTACTGATTTAACTGATGTCAATAAGCTGTACATAAGGAAAAAGGATGAATAGGCTAATGCTAGGTTGTGTAAGTGGTTTTGCAACAGTAACAACCAAAAAAAAAAGGGGGGGGAGATGCTGATATTAATTAGACATAAGCAATCACTTCATGAAATTAGCTCTCTTGATTTGGGGGCTTAGGGCCATGGTCTCATGGGACAATCCAGTTGATTGACATAATATAGTTCTTAAAATTTATGTTCTACCTCCCAGTGTGGTGAGTAGTGTCTGGAGTCTTAAAAGCTTACAAGTGGCCATCTGAGATACAACTATTTTTCTTCATTCATCTGGAACAAAAGGGAAAGGAAGAAACCCAAGAATCAGAGAAGGGGTTGGACTACAGGGCTAATTATCTACATAAGCCGCTGCCTCCTCCACCTTGAGACCAGAAGTGGATGGTGCCCGGCTACCACTACTGAATATTCTGATCAGGAATACAATAGATGAATCCTGATAAAAAGGGAGAAAAATGTGGAACAGAACTTTGAATTCTTAAATAATCCAGATTTAGTGGACCTATTGAGGCTGGAGAAGTCCCCAAGACAATGGCCCAGAGTTGCTCTTCAAATCTTGAATTGAAACTATCCCCTGAAGTCACCTTTAAACTAAGTAACAGTTTAGCTGAAGGAGTAAAGATTGTCACCCTTGAGTATTTAAAAAAAATTTTTTTATATAAGACTAAAGGGTCAACTGCTGTTTTAAAGCATAGGTGAGAAGGTTGCAGGACAGGGAGATTAAGTAAATAGAAGTGAAACAAGTAGAACAGAAATAACGAGAATGTTGACACAACGTGAAGAATGTAACCAATGTCGCTGATCATTATGTCTAGAAACTGTGGAATGGGAGCAGGTTTTGCTGTGTATGTTTTCACCAAAAATAAAATAAAATAATTTAAAAAAGGAATTATCTACATAAGATCCAAGTGGCAACAGTAAAATAGAGAAGTTTAGGGAACAGAAAGTTGAAGTTAATGGTGGTGGAACAATATTAGATACATTGTTAGACATAGCGAGAATGACTACAGAATGCAAAGAATGTAACAAATGTCATTTGAGCTGTACATGTAGAAAATGTTGAATGGGTGTATGTTTTTTTGTATGTATTTTCACCAAAAATAAAATTTTTTTAATTAAAAATTTTCAAATAAAAATCTGAGTATGAAAAGAAAAAAAGGGGTAAAAAGGATTCCAGGGTAAGTTTGCAAAGGAAAAACCATATATGAAAACTATTCACTGCATTCTTCATAGGCAATACAACATCAGAGAAAGCAGTTGAAGTGGGGGTTGGAGAGCTCGTTGGCCTCCCTCAGCCTCTATCCTCACACATCAGTCCCTGAGGCCGAGTTCATTTTAAGATGCTGAAACTGAGGCCTAGAAAAAGGAAAGGCTTTATACTCAGGATCATGCAAGAAGTCAAGGGTAGATTAAAGATGAAAACGTAGCCCTTGTGATTTTATTCAGTGTGAAACAGGAAGCCACTGGAGAATATTAAGCAAGAGCCTAACTTGATTTGATTAGGTTTTTAAAAGCTCGTTTTGGCTGCTGTGTGAAGAATGGATTATAGAGGTTTCCGGATGGAATAGTTTGAGACCAGGGAGAGCAAATCATTAGTAGAGAACCATTAAGAGAGAACAGCTCAGAAGACTGTTATGTTCCAGTGGTCCAGACGAGAGATGATTGGTTAGGACTAGAATGGACAGTGGAGACAGAAGGGATGGATTTGGTCTTATTTTAGAGGCAAAGCCAACAAGACTATTAATGAACTGAGCATTAGGTGTAAGGGAAAAGGAGATGTTAAGGATGATGTCAAGGTTTTGGCTTTAGCAAATGGGTGATGGACAGAGGAGGTGTGGAGGTGGGAATGGTGGTGGTGGAGGGGAAGGGAGAGAACACCAAGGGTGCTGTTTAGGAATATAAGTTTGAAGTCCCTATTGGACATCAAAATGGAGATGTCATTTAGGGAATTGAATGTATGCGTCTTAAGCTCAGGAGAGAGGTTGAGTGGAAGATAGACATTTGGAGGTTATCAGCATCCAAATGGATTTAAGACTGTAAGATGGAATGAGATCCCCTAGAGAGTGTAACTAGAGAAAACAGGGCAACAAGATGTAAGCCCTGGGGTACTCCAACTTGTAGAAAGAAAGCAAAGGAGAATAATCTAGCAAAGGAACCAGACTGAGAGGGTATGGATACATGACTTAAGAAAACCAGTGACTGATTCCTTATTAAAGCAGGATGACAAAGTTAGTTGTGGTGATTAAGTTAAAAGAGAGAGCTCTGGCAAACACACCTAGCAACAGGACAGGGTTTACAGTAAGTGCTTAATAATGTTTACTGAATTTCAATGGCTCTGGGACTCTCGAGATGGCCAGAGACTTCCCTCTGCCCTGCTGGTTGCGTCCTTGTGGCATCTAGACAGACTTCACGAGTGATTTGAATGATCAGAAACCTTATGCTTGAGAATAAGTATTGGGTCCTCTCAGCAATGAGGAGCCCTGATGGTGCAGTGGTTAAGCGCTAAACTGCTAACCGAAAGGTCAGTGGTTTGAACCCACCAGCTGCTCCGTGGGAGAAAGATGTTGCTGTCTGATTCCGTAAAGATTACAGCCTTGGAAACCCTATGGGGCAGTTCTACTCTGTCCTATAGGGTCGCTATGAGTGGGAATCAACTCCACAACAATGGGTTTGTTTTTGTTTTTTTTTTTCAGCATTTCGGCCCTCCTGGGGATGGTCTTAACCAGCCCCCCACACCCTGTACCTCTACATTCCAAATGGCTCACCCTCCTGAAACCTGCCCTGGGCTAGCCTAGTCCCACACCTTTGCTCTTGGAGCCCCCACCTTCCATCTCTGCCTCTCTCAGCCAGGCAGCTTTCCTGGTCACCTCACCAATGTCAGAGGGAACCTATACGTCTTCATTGTGATCACTGCCCAGGCCAGTTCTGATCCATCCCTCACCCCCCTGGCCATGGGGGAGATAGCTTGATTTGTGCCTGCTGGCCCTACCAGATTGGTGGCCAGGATCATAGGTTTTCTTTTCTTCCCATCAACCATAATGCCTTGAAAGGAGGAAGCAATGAGGATCTTGTTGAGATGAAGGCCCCACTTAGTTTCAGAGAAAAATCTGGTCTGACTCTCCTGATTTAGAAATTTTACCACCTTTTTCAGTGACAGAAAGTTCTACCTAGTTGTCAAACTAAGTGGTTCTGCCATGTAACTCCCAAGTCTGCCTCCCCACCCTGGGCAGTGGAAGGCATTATTGGATAAAGTTTGTTCAACAGAACTTTTCTTTAGTTTTTGGTCTTTCTTTGCCAAGGGAGTGAAGTAGTCCTGAGACTCCATGGAGAGCCCAGGTGGGCCATCCCACAGGTGGCCAGTGCTGTCTGCCACCTGCAGGTACAGTGCCTGTGCCATTCCATCTCATCACAGGGGACAGCAGCTGGTCAGCCTGGGCCTTTCTTCTAGGGGAGATGGCCTGGCCTGGCCTTGGAGCAGGTGTTGGGGCCTGTGTCAGCTCCCTGAGCACGTCAGAAGAATCTGGGTAGACTCTTGGGAGCCATGCCCTTTCGGTTTTCTGAGCATGATGAGGCTGGGGTTGTTGATCAGAGTCTGCAGCAGGAGCCACCTCGTCCTGGACCGAGCTGAGACTCGGGGACCTAAGACAGAATTGGTGCAGATAGACTGGGGTGAGGCTATTGGAAAAGCGTAGCAGAATGAGCTGGACTGGGACTCCTAGGGACATGGAGGAGGTCACACTAGGACGTGAGGTTGCCCGGCAGAGTTGTGTATCTGGAGTGTTTGGGATCAGTAACGAAGACATTCCAGGTGAGTGTCCACAGACAAGAGACAGGGCCCACTGGTGGGTATCCCAGGAGAAAGTAAAGCATAGTAATGGGGGTGGGAGTAGACACTATGGATCCCTGAGGAAGCAGAAGTTGGTGGCCCAGAGAGCCGTGGTGAGCAACGGGCAAAACAAACAAACTTGAGCCCCATCTTGGAGTGTGTCTGGTGTGTGGCTTGGCATGTGGGTTGGGGCCCGGCCCCAGGCAAATGGGGAGTGGAGGACTCAGCTAGCAGAACTATAGCTCAGTTCCAGGAACAAGGAAACAGACCAGTTAGCACGACAAGGACAGAGGCCTGAGTGGGTTCCACAGCCAGGCTGACTGGGAGTTAAGCCCCCTGAGCATCCAAGTAGAAGGGTTCCCAGAGTGTGGAGTGGGGGAACAGGGGGCAGGGAAGGTGGTACCTAGGGCATCTCAGAGACCCCAGTGAGGTATTAGGTATTTATTTCCTACTATCCAACCCCAATATAGCTCTAAGCACTAGAATTTACCTGCTGATTGGTTTAGGCACCAGTATTTGATGGCCTGCTGCAGCTTCCTCTCCTTGTGACCTGTCATCAGGATGTGACAGAAGCTGACGAGCACAGGGTTGGTGTGATAATGGTCCACATAGAGCATGCCAATCCATGCTCTGAACCCTGGAAGCCAGAAGGGACTTCAGGCCAGGCAGTAATTCTTCCCTGTCCCCTGGCCAGACTTCCCAGGGTGGCCTAGTTTGTGCTTTTCATGACATAACCATAGTGTCAGTCTGTGGCCAGATGAAGCCCATGTGTTTATTGGGAAACTTAGAAAACGAGGTATAAAGAGTTGGAAGTATTCTTAAAGGTTATATTCCAATCCTTACATTTTATGGGGAACCTGAAACTCAGAGGGGCTAGGACCACTGTGGCTTATAAAGAGAAGGCACTTAGTGCATATATTGGATGAATGAGTGAATGGATGGACGTGGCTACAAATAGAACAAAAACTACTTTTGCTTCCTCAAAATGGCTTTGATTACAGAATATGTCAACTAAGTAGACTAGTTTCTTAACTAAATAAATTTCTAACTAACAATACTAATCATTCCAGATGTGTTCTTTGTCAGTGTCTCTATGCAAAAAATTTCAAGCAACTTATTCATAATTCGGAGTCCCTGGGTATCGTAAATGGGTAGCCCTCGTGGTGCAGTGGTTAAAGCACTCAGCTGTGAACCAAAAGGTTGGTGGTTTGAAACCACCAGCCCGTGGCTCCACGAGAGAAAGATGTAGCAGGCTGCTTCCATAAAGATTTACAGCCTTGGAAACCCTATGGGACTGTTATACTCTGTCCTGTGAGGTCACCGTGAGTTGGAATCAACTCCATGGCAGTGGGTTTGGTTTTGGTGGGTGGCACAAATGGTTAAGCGCTGAGCTACTAACTGAAAGGCTGGCAGTTTGAATCTGCCCACAGGCGCCTCAGAAGAAAGGCCTGGGGATCTACTTCCAAAAAAATCAGCCATTGAAAACCCTATGGAGCAGTTCTACTTTAACACACATGCGGTTGCCATGAGTCAGAATTGACTTGATGGCAACTGGTTTGGCTTTTGGTTTTTATTCATAAATTAACTTCCAACTGTTCAGACAGCATCTGACTGCCTCTTACTGCCCTGCTGTTATACCTCAAAGATCTGTCAAATATGCAGGACTTCTCCACCTCACCCCTGGGCTGGGAATGCTTTTACTGCTCAGCTTGATAGCCTCGATCAGAAGATGCACTCCGAGGATAAGGGAAGGATGTGAACTCAGGGCCTCCCAGGCAACTTCCACACAGTTGGCAAAAACAGCCCTGCCCAGAGGCAGGGCCCTCAGGGCTGGCCACCTACCCATGTCTGCTTTCTCGTAGCCATTCTGCATGATGGTCCTGTCGATGCGCGCAATCAACCAAGTGCCCAGGATGCAGGTGATCAACAGCCTGGAGATGCACGCGCCCAGGCCCAGCAGCACGTTGTAGAAGAACAGGAAGTAGTTGAAGTTGTGGAATGCTTTTCTGCAAATGGAAGCCAGCCCAAGGGCAGTGTCCTTTCAGCAAGGCAAGGTGGCTAGGGAGGCCGGCCCTGTAGCCTCCCAGACTCAGCAACAGATCCCGTCTCTTAGCTTTGTGACGTTGTGCTATAAGTGGACATTGATTGCACCTACCCCACAGCACTGGCATGAGGGTGGGCTCTGATGCGGTGGACAGGGCACTGCGCCAAGTGCAGGACGAATGTGAGTGGCGATTGTAATTGTTTCCGGTGGTATTTGTGTTTTGAGGTTTCCTGTATAAGAAATCTCCCATGGCTACTGCTGGTTTTGTGGTCGTGGCAGAGGTTGAGGCTTTCCCACTGACTGTTCCAACAGTGACCTGCCTCCAGCTGGGACTGTTCCATCATCCTCCAGCGTGAACTTCCCAAATCACCGCCTGATAGCGTGGTTCCCCACTGGCTATGGGATAAAGTCCAAAGTTCTCATCCTGATTTTCTAGGCCCTCTCTGATAGGACCCTTTTTTGGCCTTGTCACCTTGTCCCGTCTCCCTGCCCCTTACCTGCTCAGGCCACTGCATGGCACCATATTGGATTACTCACTCTTCTCCTAAGACGTTCTGCCCTTTTGCTCTTCCCTGCCTCCATCCCGTAGTTACAGCTGCCAGTATGTCCGCTCTCTATCTCTACCTGCAGAAACCCTACCCAACCTACTGCCCTCACCTCCAACATACCATCTGCAATTGAATTAATCACTCCTGCTTCTAGGTGGCACAAACGGTTTGCACTCGACTGCTAACCTATAGGCTGGCAGTTTGCACACATCCAGTGGCACTGCGGAAGAAAGACCTGGTGATCTGCTTCCATAAAAATTACAGCTAAGAAAACTCCATGGAGCAGTTGTATTCTGTAACACATGGGGTCATCATGAGTTAGAACTGATTTGATGGCAACAGGTTTGGGTTTTTTGTTTTTGTTTTTTGGGTTTTTTTTTGCCTTTTCTCTGCCATCCCCAGCCTCTCCCCCTCCATTATTCATATTTCTTCTAATTATTTTGCATCCTCCGGATTCTACTCTGTTTATGTGTCTGTCTTCTCCAGTGGACTGTGTTTTCTCAAAGGCAGGTTGTATAGGGATTCTCTCTTTACCCTCAGTGCCCATGTTGTTTCCCCAATCAGTGAATGATTTTGGATAAATGAATTAGGAATATTACCATGTACCAGACACTATTGTTCTAAGAACTTTTCATATTTAATACATGTCATCCTCATAGCACTTCTTTGATGTATGTACAATTATTTGTAATTTGGGCAGACAGGTTCATAGATGTTTAGCAAGGTCATCTAAGGTCACACAGCTAATAAGTGGGGGAGTCAGGATTTGGACCCAGGCAGTTTGGCTCCAGAGCCTGTCTGCTGAACTGCTGCACTGAAACCCCTCCCAGAAAGCCTGCCCAGGAACCTGCAGAGGGTGAGGAGGCAGGACCAGAGACAGCCGAGGTAGAAGCCCTGCAATTCCCCCACTTCCTCCCCTTCCCCTCACCTGTTGTTGAGAGCCAAGGGCTTCTGCTTGTCAGCTGTGCCCATCTTTGGCTGCAGGAAGAAGCTGGCGGCAATCCACACTTGCAGGATCATGAGACCCACGACGACAGCTATGGTGAGGCTGAAACATAGGGAGGGACCATCCTGAGGTCACCCATCATCCTGAGGTGGCCATTTCACTCTCCCTCAGGCCCTTCTTGGGTCCTCCAGTAACAGAGGAGAGAGATGCCACCTGCCCACCAGACCAACAGTAACACAGGCTCTGTGCTTTGTGCTTACAAAGCCCTCACATGCCCATTGTGCAGATGAGAAAGCTGAGGCTCACCAAGGAGAAATGGTTGGGTCTTCCGGCTCTAAATCACAACCCATTATTCCAGGATTTAATTGATGTCCTCTTTGGTCAGGGGTAGAGCCCTAGTGGTGCAGTGGTTAAGAGCTATGGCTACCAACCAAAAGGTCAGCAGTTCGACTCCACTAGCTGCTCCTTGGAAACCCTATGGGGCAGTTCTTTTCTGTCCTATGGGGTCCCTGTAAGTTGGAATCGACTCAACGGCAATGGGTTTTTTTTTTTTTTGGTTTTGGTCAGGGGTGGCAGCTGGGGTAAGTGGTTTAACAGCTGGGAATCAAAGAAAAGAATGAGATTTTTAGAAGTGCCTGAGAAGGCCACAAAAGACTGGCAGGGCAGCCAAGGGACTCGAAGCAAGTATGGAACAAGAGGAGCTCAGAGGAAGGAGGACCCCGGAGATCACCGCATCCAATATTTGCATCTCCTGAGTGGCAGTGTAGGGTAGTGGTTAGAACACAGGCTTAGGTGCCAGACTGCCTGCCTCCAAATCCTGGTTCTTCCCCTTCCTGGGACAAATTGCTTACCTGCCCTACGCGTCTGTTTCCTCACCTGTGAACAGAGGCTAACATAGCACCAACCTCATAGGGCTGTTAAGAGAGTAGGTAATGCTGAATGATGTTAGCGTTCACTTTTATCTGCCATGTGGGTAAACTGAGGCTCAGAGAGGGGAGACTACTTACATAAAGTCACACAGCAAGGCAGTATCTGATCCAAAATCAGAGCTCAGATTCCCTGACTTGTTCTAGCATACTCTCCTGTCTTTCACTTCACCTCCCTAACCTCAATTTTCCCAGCTGTAAAATGGACATACGTGTCTCCCCCAACACAGTTGTGAGGACCCCATGGAATGGTGAGTGAGGAAGCAGTTTGTAAACTGTAAGCTTCCCTTTCCCAGTGAGTTGCTATGATGAACCACTCCTGGTTAGAGCCAAGACCACAGGCCAGGGTTTGTGGAGAGCCCAGCAGGGAAGGGATGCTTTCTGGAGAATGGCTAAAGGGGCCCACCAGCTCCTAGGACCTGGGCAACGACAGGCAGCCACCAGCACTCACGTCCCGATGCCTAGGCCTTGCAGCATCTCCAGGCCCTTGTTGTGCATGATGGGCAACACCAGGCCGTACATGACCATCATGCCGCACAAGCTGTGTACCACGTGCATGATGAGGTAGCCTGCGGGCAGAGAGAGTGGTGGTCACTCAGGGCCCTCCATCCATGATCTGTCCCTGCATGCTCCCCCCTGTACACTACCCTCTACCTCCTCCCCATCACAGGCCATGCAGTCTCCTGCCCTGGCCTGTTTGCTTATGGCATTTCTTCTGCCTGGCATGACGCCCCTTTCTTCCTCTGATCTTCTACTCACCTTGCCAGCTTCGGTTCTAATATCAACTCCTCTGTCAGGCATCCGAACCCTGGCCTAGATGTGGATAGGCACTTCCTCCTCTGGGTCATCACCGCCCCTAGCACATAGGGCCCCGTGGGCTCAGGAGAGGTGGGATGATGACCTATTTGAATGTGTGTTTCTTCCTCTGTACTGAAAGCCCCCAAAGTGCAGGGGCTAGGGCTACATCTGACTTCTCCATTCTCCCCCTACCCATAGCCAGGGCTCTGCAGGTGCCCAGGAGTTGTGTGCTGACTGAACGGGTCCAGTAATAGCACTTACCCCACAGAATATAGGCTATTTGCCACCCAGAATACCTTGCTATGGCCACCTGAGATTTAAAAAGAAAAGGGAAGTTATGTTAATGGTGGTGGAATGAGATTTGGAAAAGGATAGCAAGTATGGTCGCACAACTTGAAGGATGTAATCAATGTCACTGAATTGTACGTGTAGAAAGTTGAGGTGGCATATGTTTTGTTAAGTATATTTTTACCACAATAAAATTTGAAATAAAGCAAAACTGAAGCAAAAAGAAGAAAAGAGGATTCTAGAGAGGAGCAAAGCTTCTGTTATCTCTAACACATCTGCCCAGCATTCTTGTGTCATTTGCAGTTCATCCACCAGCCCAGGGAAGCAGGTATGGTGATTGTCCTCATTTAATAGAGGAGGAAACCGAACGGCTAGCTGGAGAATGGGACTTGCCCTGAGTCACACAGCAGCTGGCAGGACTGGAATTGAGGAGTTTGGACTCCCAGCCTGGGCCTCTGCCTCCAGCACTGCCCTGGCCCTGGTACAGGAGAGCAGGGGTTGGCATACTGCCTCATCTGGGAATGGAGCGAGGCCTCTGCAGACTTACCACACTCTCTGAAGAGGAAGGGTTATGAAACGTCAAGGGAAGAAAGTTTTTGTTTCCTGACCACAACCTCTTTATGTGCTTTCTAGAGAAAAAGTGGAAAATTAAGTAATATTAGTAACTATGGCTCCTTATGTGTAATCAGAGTTCAAGAGATATCAACAAAAAGGCCCGTGGAGGGTGATGGCAGGCAGCGCAGCTGCTCTGTGTTGACCACAACTCATGGCCACCAGAGACTTCTGATTTCCCTTAAAAGTCTTAATCCAGCCACTTCAATCCCACTTTGTTGAAATAATATATTTTTAATAAAGTGGTGACAGTGACTGAATCTGATAGATAAGATTATGTGTGGCCTTTATTTTCTTCATTCTCTTATTTATAATTTCTAATTTTTCTGCAATGAATACGTGTTACTGTGTAGTAACATTTAAAAACAGAAAATCAGTTTTACTGATGGCATAACCTTATACCAACATGTTGTTGTTGGGTGTCACTGAGTCAATTTTTGATTCACAGAGACCCCATGTGATGAGTAGAACTGCCCCATAAGTTTTCCTAGGCTGTAATCTTTAGAGGAGCAGAGCCAGGTCTTTCTCCCACAGAGCTGCTGGGTGGATTCGAACAGCCAACCTTTCGGTTAGCAGCCGAATGCTTAACCATTGTGCCACCAGGGCTCCTTTATACCAACATAAAGGGAAATAAAAATGGGCAACAATTCCTTACAATCCCACCACTCCAACAAACAACTGCTTCCCTTTCCCATCTTCTAGTCCAGTCTTTGGCCCTATGCATAAGTCTTATGTTTACAGAGTTAATAGTCTACATTCACATCCGTGTCCACTTTTATTTCTCAAATTTTATCTCCAGCATTTTTCCAATTTGTTTTCAGTTTTCATGACCAAAGCTGATAATGGCAGATCTTGACACCCAATAGAGAGGCCTGGTGTGTACAGAAAATAACAAGGTCTCTGGGGTCAGAAAGACTTGCTCTGCTGCTAATTGCTTGAGCAAGTTATGTAATTGTGTTGAGTCTACATCCTCAGCTGTAAAAATGGACGTGAAGATACATATCCCTCGGGGTTATAGTGAAAATCAAATAAGGATTCTAAGCACAATGTCTAGCTCATAGTAGGAGCTCCATTGAGTAGGTTATTTTCTAGGTGGTTGTCCCTAGACCTTGCATATATTCCCTGAGCCCATACTGGGTACTGCAGGCACCATTCAGGAATTCTGAGAAAAGCCTGGCAGATGCTGAAGACACACCAGAGACTCTTACAGTCCTCTTACCTGTAACAGGACAAAATGTGGAACATATAGTTCACACATGTGAGGGCGGCAGGCAAAATAGTTGCCACCCAGACTCCTGAAATAGAAAAGGTTATATAAGAGGCCTCAGAAAATAAACCAGAAGCAGTATTTTAGAAACACTTCCCACATCAGAAAGGTCTGGGCAGAATATTTACATGAATAAAATGAGAAAATCAACAACGAGACAAACAATAAAAAAAAAACCAAACAATTACTGGGACTGAAAAATACAATAACTAAAATGAAAAATTCACAGGAGGAGCTCAACAGTAACTACTATGGAAGACAGTTTGGCGGTTCCTTAGAAAGTTCAACATAGAATTACCATATGACCCAGCAATTCCACTCCTAGGTATATACCCGAAAGACTTCATAGGAGGGGCTAAAATAGATACTTGAACACCAGTGTTCATTGCAGCATTATTCACAATAAAAAGGTGGAAATAACCCAAGTGTCCATCAACAGATGAATGAATAAACAAAATGTGGTATATACATACAATGGAATATTATTTAGCCATAAAGAGAGATGAAATTCTGATACATGCTACGACATAGATGAACCATGCTGAGAGAAGCAAGTGAGACTCAAGAGGACAAATATTGTATGTTCTCACCAATATGAAATATGTAGGATAGACAAGTGCATAGAGAAAAAAGTTTATTCGTGGTTACCAGGGGCTAGGGAGGGAGAGGTGGGGAGTTATTGCTTGATGGGTACTGAGTTTCTGTTTAAGATGATGACAACTATTTGGAAATGGTTAGTGGTAATGGTTGTAAACATGGTGAATGTAATTAATGTCACTGAATTGTACACTTAAAAGTGGTTAAAATGGGATCACAACAGAGGGTTCTGGAGAGAGCTGGAGAAGGATGTAGAACATATTTCTAACTCCCAAAAAAAAAGACCAGATTTACTGGCCTAAAGGAGACTGGAGAAACCCCGAGAGTATGGCCCCCAGACACCCTTTTAGCTCAGTGGTGAAGTTATCTCCGAGGTTCACCGTTCAGCCTGGGAGTGGACAGCCCCGTAAAACCAAACGAGACTAACGAGGTACAGTAGTCCAGTGACAAGGGCCAGAAGGCAGAAGGGACAAGGAAGCTGGTGATAGGGAACCCAAGGTTGAGTAAGGATATTGTTGATGTGTTGTGAGATGGTTAACCATTGTCATAGGGCAACATGTGTAGTAACTATTAAATGAGAAACTATTTAGTTCTGTAAGCCTTCATCTTAAGTGAGAATAACAGCACAATTGGAAGAGTGTAGTCAATGTCACTGAACTGTGCATGTAGAAATTTTTGAAATGGTGTATCTTTGGCTATGTGTATTTTCACCAAAAAAAAAGGTCGAGAAGTTAGAGGGTTGACATGTTGTGGGGTTGTTAACCAATGTCATAAAACAATATGTGTACTACTGTTTCGTGAGAAACTATTTGTTCTGTAAGTCTTCACCTGAAGTACAATAAAAAAAAATGGTTAAAATCGCAAATGTTTTGCTATATATATTTTACCACAATAAAATTTTTAAAAGTAATAAAATACCTAGAAATAAATTTAACAACAGAAGTACAATACTTATACACTGAAAACTATAAAATGTTGTGGAAAGAAATGAAAGAAGATGTAATAAATAAATGGAAAGACAACCCACAGAATGGGAGAAAATATTTGCAAATCATGTATCTGCTGAAGGGACTTGTATGTAGAATATATAAAGAACTCTTACAACCCAGTAATAAAAAGACTAATAACCCAATTTAAAGGGTTTTACCTTTGGTCACGCTGATCAGCTCTTGCACTTGCAGAATGACTGGGGTCAGTGTCCCTGTGTCATTCATGGAGCTGATGTAGTTTTCCAGCTCGACTTCAAACACGTCCAACTCATCTCTCACATACACAAAGATGCAGAATTCAATGACAATGAACTGGGGACACAGAGCAAAGGCTTCAAAGCATCACTTGAGTCCAGCTCGGTGTGTGAACAACATGCAGATCTCTCACAGGTTCAGAAGCCAGTCTCTCCCAGGCATTCGAAACTCTTCTGAGATTGACTCTGGACACTGGCTGTTCTGAACTGGATTGTGAGTTTTTGGAGATAGGAGTCACCCCGCACTCTGTTCTTCACCCCACAGCAAACAAGAGCAGGCCCTACAAAGTCTCAAGGAACTCTTCAAACATTAATGAATCAGAGTGAAATGAATGACTATCTTTGAGTAAGGGGTGACTCTGAGGATGATTCCAGCCATATCTCCCACTGCTCCACATCATGCATCTTGGGCAATAGCCAAATTGCTGCCTGTATACATCTTATGCTTGCCCACCCTCCTATATCCTAGCATAATGCCATTATGCCTCCTATCAACATGCCACCGCTTCCATAGCTCCTGCTGCCATCTTTCTCCACTAACCAAATCTTATTTATCTCTGAAAGTGGAGCTCAAATGCTATCACCTTCAGGCAGCTTCCCAATCTAGAATAATTTGCTGAACTTCGGGTGCACTCCCACCTTCTCTGTTTTCTGGTTTAGGAAGGCAGATACTTCATTCTATGTCTCCTTCACTTAGACTGTGAACGTCTCCCAAGCCAGGATTCTGCTGAATCCTATATGGGGGATTGTTTTTACTAGTAATGTTTACTTTGGTGGCCAAAGTGTCCTTGGAGTCAAGATGGTGGGGTCAAAGTATTCTACTTCTTTGATTGACAGAAATTCAATTATGACCCAACTTTTGAGGAACACGCTGCTTACATAGAAGGTTCCACAAGCCCCTGCCCCACCCCATTCATGAAACAGAAAAGGATTTTCTCAGGGCTACTCACAAGGTACAGGCAAATGAAAGCCAGCACAGTGGTTCCAATCATTCTGCTTGGGAACTGAAAGCAGGGGTCCCACTCATATATCCTAGTTTGGAACCAAGACTTTTTTCTCTCTCTGTGAATGAATAAACACCAAGAAAAGAGAGGCTCTGGTAGGTAAACAAATGCTAATTCATCTCAAAATAACACTATCTCCTTCTCTTCATCTTGCAACTTAAAGTAAGGAAAGAGTACTGGGAGTTGCACCACGGTTTTTCGTTTGTTCCTTTTCCCTAAGAACACTCAGTTTTATGCAGGGCAGCAATCATCAGACTAAAAGACTATAGCCCCTAATTTCTCTTGCAACTAAGAGTGACCAGACGAAGTTTAGGCCCATTAGATGTGAGCAGCAGTATTGTGTAGGACTTCGGGAAGCTGCTTTCATGGATCTGACACAGATCTGGGGGTCCCTTTGCCCTTCCTCCTTTCCTCTTTCCTGCTGTCTGAAATGAAGACATAGTGGCTGGTCCAGGCTGGAGCTCCAGAAGCCATCTGGACCATGTGATAGCCTTGAGGATGGAAACCACATATTATGATGTTGGAGCAGAAAGACAGACAGTCACTGAACTGCCATGGTAGACAGACCTGGGTTGTTATGAACTGTCTGCCTCCAAAGAGCTTTTACATGAGAAAGAAATACTTTTTTTTTTCTTATTTGTGTCACTATTATTTTGGGTTTTCTGCTATACGTAGACGAGTCTAATCCTAACCGAGGTACTGGCTTTTCCATTGAATCACTGTGTGACCTCGGATAAGGACATATCCCTTCTCTGAAACATATCCCAGTCTGCATAGTGGTAAACACAGAAGTCGTGGCACTTGTCCTCTTCTATCCATATCCTCTTCTATTGGTAAGAGCACCTACATTTTTCTTTGGGGAACTACCATTCCCCTACCCTCAATCCATGTAGTTAAGTGAGGCTGACGCCACTTCCTGGCTCCACTGGTGAACATGTGACCCAAGCTTAGCCAATCAGTTTACTCCACTCCCTTAGCCATGGTGATTGGTTCCAGGGTGTCATGTGATCCAATCTGACCCAGTGAAACTCTTTCCTGGAACTTCAGTTTTAATAATTGGGAAGGAAAATTTCTCTTTCCTCCAAGTTTGAAGCCAGGAGGGTATAAGCTTAGAGATTCTAAGGACCAGCATGTGGAGGAAGCTCACCTAACTTTTTAGGTCAACACAGAGAAAGGCAGAACTGAGAAGAGATGTAGAGAAAGAGACCTAATCTGATGGCATCCCCTAAGCCCCTGGATCCAGCTATACCTGCAACAGAACTTCCTCTAGACTTTTCAATTATGTGAGCCCATAAATTTCCTTTTTCTCTTTAAGCCAGTTTTAGTTGAGTTTCTGTCATTAGTGACACAACAGTCCTGACTAGTAGAGTGTCCCCCAGTCATCTTGGGGTCTGTCACATTGTCAGGGCTCATCAGTATCAGTGCAAAGACTGAGAGAAGAATGAGTATAACTGTGGCTTACTGCAGAGGGGACTTCCTCAGGAGCTGTTTGACATGCTCTGCCTGGTGAACTTCCAGGAAAGGCTTTTCTTCCTGTGAGAAAGGGAGAGAGGTATATGCTTTGGCTCACAAATTCTAGTTAAGGTTTTGTTCTCTGAGAGGAGCCATAGCCACAGATGGCAGAAATTTGGGCAAGAGTTGCTCTTCTTTTTTTAGACATTCACAGGCACCTGTCACATTTTGGAGAGGAACTGGGTCCAGTTTCCTGTTTACTAAGAGTTTGTTTTTACAAAATATCAGAGGTCTGGCTTCACTTTTCTCTTTACTGATTGCACCAAACACTGCTTTGTGGAATATTTTTTTCCCTTAGAGATTTGGTGATTTCCCACTATATTTCAAGCCATTGTTTGAAAATGAAGCCCCTCAAAATCCCAGTATTTTTACTTTTTATAAAGAGGAATTTATTTTGCTCATTTCTTATTTTTTCGTCATTAAAAAAAATGAAACCTTAATGGTTTGTTATGAAAAGTTTTCTCCAAGTGCAATGAGCATTCCACAGTCATCATCTATCTTGCTACATATATTTAAATGTGTAAAGTTCATATGCTATAAGATAAAATCTTATGTATCATGAACGTTGGGTAGAGTCCAAAAGTTCTGGTTAGAATCCTGTGATCGTTAAGGTTATGTGTCAACTTGGCTAGGCCATGATTCTCAGTGTTGGCAGTTATGTAGTCTGGCAGTGGTATGATGATGTGATCACGTTCATGATGAGATTTCATATAATGTGATCACCTCCGTGATGGGATTTTCTGTGAGTAGCCAATCAGTTAAAAGGAAGTTTCCTTGGGTGTGCTGCCTGCATCGAATACAAGCGGATTTTCTCACAAGGCTTGTGGGCTTTTGCTCACTCTGGATCCTGCAGCTGGCTCCTGTTCATCTGGCCTCTGGTTCTTGGGACTTGAGCTAGCAGCTTACCTGCCATCTTGCCTGCTGATCTTAGGATTCATTGGTCTTCACAGCCTGTGAGCAAGAGCCTTGCTGTCTGACCTGCTGACCTTGAGTTCACCAGCCCCTGTGGCTATGTGAATCAGGAGAAGCCTCCAGCCTGACCTACAGATTTGGAACGTCCCAGCCTCTACAACCGTGTGAGCCATTTCCTTGATGTAAATCTCTTTATATAGATGTTTACACATTTTACTGGTTTTGCTTCTCTAGAGAACCCAGCCTAAGACAAATTCTGACTGGCTACTAACTAACTGTGTGCCTCTGCCAAGTTACATCTCTACCCCTCAGGCCCCTCATTTATGAATGGAGAAAATAATAGTACCTACTTCCAATGCTGGACTATATGAAGAAGAATGGGGCATCAGGATTAGAAGAAGACTCATTAACAACCTGCATTATGCAGATGACACAACCTTCCTTGCTGAAAGTGAAGAGGACTCGAAGTACTGACTGATGAAGATCAAAGACTACAGCCTTCAGTATGGATCACACCTCCACATAAAGAAAACAAAAATCCTCACAACTGGACCAATAAGTAACATCATAATAAACAGAGAAAAGACTGAAGTTGTCAAGGGTTTCATTTTACTTGGATACACAATCAATGTCCACAGAAGCAGTAGTCAAGAAATCAAACGATGTATTGCATTGGGCAAATCTGCGGCAAATGATTTCTTTAAAGTGTTAAAAAGCAAAGATGTCACCTTGAAGACTAAGATGTGCCTGACCCAAGCCATGGTATTTTCAATCACCTCATATGCATGTGAAAGATGGACAATGAATAAGGAAGACCAAAGAAGAACTGACGTCTTTGAATTATGGTGTTGGAGAAGAATATTGAATACACCATGGACTGCCAGAAGAACAAACAAATCTGTCTTGGAAGAAGTACAGCCAGAATGCTCCTTAGAAGCGAGGATGGCGAGACTTCATCTCATGTACTTTGGACATGTTATTGGGAGGAACCAGCCCCAGAAGAAGGACATCATGCTTGGTAAAGTAGGGGGGTCAGCAAAAAAGAAGAAGACCCTCAACAAGATGGATTGACACAGTGCCTGCAACAGTGGGCTCAAGCATAATGATTGTGAAGATGGCTCGGGACTGGGCCGTGTTTCGTTCTGTTGTACATAGGGTCGCTATGAGTCAGAACCAACTTGACAGCACCTAACAATAACAACTTGCGAAGTTTACTCTGAGGATGAAATGAGATAATATCTAAAGCACTTGCACCATGCCTGCCCAGGACAGGTGCTCAATAAGTGATTCATATGTTGTTGTTAGGTGCCATCGAATTAGCTCCGACCCATAGCGACCCTATGTACAACAGAAGGGAACACTGCCCAGTCCTGTGCCAACCTCACAACCATTGCTATGCTTGAGCTCATTGTTGCAGCCACTCTGTCAATCCGTCTCCTTGAGGGTCTTCCTCTTTTTCGCTGACCCTCTACTTTAGCAAGCATAATGTCCTTCTCCAGGGACTACTCCTTTCTGGTAACATGTCCAATGTCAAATATCCTCCTCACTTCTAAGGAGCATTCTGGCTGTACTTCTTCCAAGACAGATTTGTTTGTTCTTCTGGAAGTCCGTGGTATATTCAATATTCTTCACCAACACCATAATTCAAAGACATCAATTCTTCTTCAGTCTTCCTTAGTCATTGTCTAGCTTTCACATGCACATGAGGCAATTGAAAATACCATGGCTTGCGTCAGTTGCACCTTAGTCCTCAAAGTGACATCTTTGCATTTTAACACTTTAAGGAGGTCTTTTGCAGCATTATTCATAAAATGAAAGAAAATTGCCCTTTCTTTTCCTTCTACTAGAGTCCCTGGGTGGTGCAAATGGCTAGTGTGTTCCGCTGCTAACTGAAAGGTTGGAGGTTCAAGACCACCCAGAGGTTCCTTGGAGAAAAGGCCTGGCTATCTACTTCTGAAAAAAATAAACCATTCGGAAACCCTATGGAGCACAGTTCTCCTCTGAAACACATGGGGTCACCATGAGTTGGATCCAAGCTGATGGCAACTGATACTGTTTTTCTTCAACTGCTAGTAAATGCATCCAAGATGGCCTTTTTTCTTTAAAGGAAAAAATGTCTACTTAGATAAACTTGTTTATTTTGGGAGAAAGTCCTCATCACCTCCTGCAATCTGGGGAAATACAGGAAGAGTTCATTTCCAAAGTCAAACCTAAAAAGATTTGAAGCTATGAGTAAGTTCTCTTTGTTTGTTTTTAAGCACCCACATGCTGCATCACCTCCAGATTCTGGACTGCGGGGCTATTCACGAGCATTCTGGTTCCCCCTCCTCGGGGTACATAGGAAGATTGTACTTTCCCCCAACTTGAAAGTGGGTGTGGCCAGATGACTTGCTTTGGCTAATGGAGTCTGAGTGGAAGTGACATCATGGTGGTAGCTTTAAATGCCAGTGTACGTCACCATGTGCCTTTTCCTGTTCCATGTCCATCAGTAATGGTCTGGATGGCAGCTGCTCCATTAGCCTGACATGCAGAGTGGGGAGAACATGGAACTGTGCCCTGGGAACACCCATGATGATCATGGAGCAATAGTGAGAAATAAACCCTTATCATGTTAAGCCACTGAGATTTGAGGCTGTTTGTTACTACAGCAAAACCTTGCCTGTCCTGACTGTTATATGAACATTTTGAAAAGATAATCAAAGGACAAGAAAAGTTCAAGGTCAGTGAAACAAACTAATCACAACATCTTCAAACTCAGTTGATGGAGAGACCAAAGCTCATGGCAATGAGCGCCAGAGACATAAAGTTCACATGTACCTCTGGAAACCCTGACAAGCTCTGATTTAACAGTGAGGTGTGGAGAACAGAGAAAGGACAATCCTGACCCCACTGTGACCTCAAAGCTGGAGTCATTTGCTCTAAGCCAGAGAGGCTGTGCAGCATAGTGGTTAAGAGAGAGTCCAGACAGCCAAACTGTCTAGGTTCAAATTCTGGCTCTGCTACAGACTAGTTAGGTGACTTTGGGCAACTCAACTCACCTCTTGGGGTCCCAGTTTCCTAATCCAGAATGTGGAAAGTAATGATAGTACCAACTGCACAGGGCTGTTGTGAGGATTAACCTCGTCAGTATGCACACAGTGCTCAGTACTTGTACTCACGGCCTGGAGCTCCCAGCCCCGGTGGGCTCTCAGAGACTTGATGAACATGTGCAGGAAGCGGCCCAGCAGGAAGGCGAGGCACAGCAGTGACGGCCAATAGAATATGATGGTTTCATACCTCCCCACAAGCTGCAATAAAAGCAGACCACAGGGTGCAGGCTGTGGGTAGGGTGGGGGCCAGAGCCCTTTGTAGACTTGGTGAAGCTGTGGACAGAGTTCTGCCTGCCCTGTCTGCTCCCACCAAGACCCACTCTCTCAGCGCTCACCCAGACCTGGCCTCAAATCCCAAGTCCTCCACTACTTAAAAATCACTTGATATACTTGGACCTCAGTTTCCTCACTGTAAAATAGGTTTCATGAGAGCCTTCCTACCTTGCAGGGCTGCTGGGAGCATCAAATGTCTGTGAATGAACACCTTAAAGAACACAAAAGTGAGCAATCATGGTGGCTCCAATGCCCCTTTTTTTTTTTTTTTTGCAGATGAGGAAACTGAGGTCCAGAGAGGGGCAGAGGCTTGTCCGAGGTCACATGACAAGTTGGCCATGGTGATAGGACATGAACATCCTAAACATGGCTCACCTGGACTCACCTGCCCATGAGGACACTGTGCAATATAAAGGACGGTGACAGAAAACCTGAAAAACAGAAACAGGACATGGGGCACTTCTGTTCCCCTCCCAGTACAGTACCGGCAACAACCCTTATGAAAACAGCTCACGTCCCACCATGCCGAGCTACTTTCCTCATCCCTGCCCTCTTCGGAGGGCTGGTTCCTAAGCCTCAGTGTGCCTCCCACCCAGATCAGGAGAAGGGAAGGAGTGAGTCTGGAGTCCCACACAGAGACCAGGGCTCCTGACTCTGGCCAAGCTTCTCTCTGCATCTACCTGACTTTTTCTATAAATACTGTGCGAAGTCATGCACCTCAATAATTTACCCTCGCTCATTCACGGTCACGGTCATACGTGGGTCTGACTCCCATGTACTCACGTTTTGAGTGATTCCCAACACCATTCCTCTTCTGGTCAAGAAAACTGTCAGAACCTGAGGAGATGAGCTCACTCCATGTCTAACCCTGGATACCCTCTCTCTTAATTTGTAAGAAGCAAGCCACTTCTGTTTGGGGTGATGAAAAGTTTTGGAAATAGACAACAGTGATGGTTTCACAACATTGTGAATATAATTAATGTCACTGAATTATATACTTAAAAACATTGAGTTATCTTACACTCAAAAATAGTAAATTTTATGTTAGATATATTTCACCACAATAAAAACGTTTAGAGAAAGAAAAAGAAGACCACTTACACACTTTGGAGCTATAGCCATTGGTGTGTCAATTGCTTATGAGCCACCTGCCAGTCGTCCCTGACAGACTGCAGTGTCCCCACACATTGGGCCGGAGGACCCTGCCCCATAGAAAATGCTGGATGGGGGAAGCAGGCCCAGCAAGGGGGTTAGGTTCCAGGAAATGAGCCTTGGGGGCTGAAGAGTAGAATTGTCCATGTGATTATTCAGTCAACAAATATTCCTTGAGGTCAACTCTGTGTTGAGTCTGTGGCAGGTGCTGAGGGCGCAGAGCTCACCCTGAAGGCAAGAAGCTCTTAGTCTGGTGGAGGCTGTGGTCCAGGAGGATGAGTGTATATTTACCACTAGATTAGGGGAGAAAGATGATCTATACAGGGAATAGCAGCCTATAGACAAAGATGGCAGAACACATGATCCATAAAGCTGTGTCTTGTTTTCCGATGTATTCCTTGGTTCATAGTGGGGATGTAATAGAATGTTTGTTGAATGAATAAGTGGTTGGATGAATGAATGTAGGAGTCTTGTATGACTGGAGGTGTGTGCTAGGGACAGATAGGGTGTGGTAGGGGGTGGAGAGACAGGGAGAGGTCAGACTCTGAGGGGCCCTGAATGCTAAACTAAGGCACATGGACTTTCTTCTGGGCTCCAAGGGAAGCTATGACAGTGTTGAGCAGAAGCATCCAACTGGGACTCCTGCTTCCCCCAATGGGACCCTTGACAGTTTAGAGAAATTTATTTTTCTGAATTTGCAACTTCTAGGAGACGCCTTCAGGAAAGGCCTCATGTGAGGCAGGCAAATGCTGGCCTGACCTGAAGCCTCAAGTGCAGGCCCAAGAAGGGGCTGCAGTGAGACCTTGGAAAGGTCACCCCTGCCCACCCTGGGCCTCAGTCTCCCCTTCTGGGCAAAGACGTCCTACTCAAAGAGCTCTCAGGTCACTTCCAGCCCTCTTTCCAGAGTCCAGCCATGGCCAAGGAACGGCGGGAGGCAGGCAGGCAGAGCCCATCTTACCATATCAGAGAGTAGCTGAAGCCCAGGATGGCACCAACCAGCCGGAACTCAGACGAGAGGCAGGCAAAGAAGGGGAAGTAGGACAGGCCAACTTCGATGCCTCCCATCAGAAGCACAAAGGCTAGGGGAGACAGGGCCAGAGAGGCTGTGAGTTCCCTTCTCACCTGGGCTCGCAGGAGTCCTGGGAGGATGTGCGGCTTCATGCTCCTTAAACTATCCCAGAACATGTAAGGAGAAGTAAAACTTCCAGATTGGTTTCATTACATGAAGATAACATTGATTCCAAAACCTGATGAAGACTGGACTCGTAAAAAGAATTCCAGATCAGTCTTGCTTACAAATATTGATTCAGAAATCTTAAAACATTAGCAAACAGAATCCAAGAACATATCAGGAAATAACATACATCTTAACCAAATAGTTTGTTCTAGAAATGCAATGGAGTTTCAATATGATGAAACTCATTCATATAATCCATCAGACGAATAGAATTAAGGAGAAAAATCATATGATCAACTCCAGGGAGATGTATATTTCATCATCTTGATTGTGGTGATGGTTTCATGGGTGTAAACATATGTCAAAATGTATCAAACTCTATACTTTTAAGAGGTGAATAGTGGTATGTCATTGCAGTTTTTGTTTGCATTTCCCAACTCTAATGAGGTGTTTGTATGCATTTGATCACATAGGCTTGGAAAACATAAGAAAGATATAGGCTGGACAGAAAGGTTGGCAGTCATTGTGTATGGGATGGTTGAATCTATAAATTAGAGTTGCTGTTTCAGGGAGAATATGAGGCATGGGAGAAAGAAGAGACCTTAGACCAATGGACAAAGAAGTAAATTGTTTTTTTGAGAAGAATCCTAGGCCTCACTGATATCAAGAAGGCAGCCATGACTAAAACTCAGGAGAGTTTTTTGGGATGGGTGATGGAGAACCTGCTTTCTGATCCTTTATTACATCATGTCTAAAGGACCTCTGAATCTAACTGGGGGAAAGTCCCACAAACAAGCTGTGAGGTTCTGTGGGTTATGCATTGACCTTGGGCAAGGAACAAGCTGAGAAAAACATTAACAGTTCACAAAGTTTATCCCCTGATCCCAGACAAACCCTGGCACGGGGTCTCTGAGAGCAAGAATTCCCATGGCAAAATTCCTAGCAGGTGAGAGGCAGCCCTTGTACCTTGGGCCCACTGCGGGATCTGCAGGGGCTGGTAGCCTTCTGAGAACAAGAACATGATCTTATTGGCCGTGGCCCCAAAGGCGATTCCATAGGACCATCGGTTACTAAATGTGCCCAAGAAGTCCAGAGGCCTGTGGATAAGAAAAGCAGTCTGTGACACCAGAAGGTGGCTCTGAAACATTGTCACAGTTCATCTTCAAAGTAGCAAACCCACCTTTAGGTGAGATTATTGGGTGGTGAGCCGTTAGGTTCAACCGACATTTACTAAGGCCCTGTGTTCCAGGCCTGGTGCTAGCCATGGGTTCAGGACACTAAAGTGAAGAAGACAAAATGCTTGCCTTTGAGGAGCTTCAGGTTTAGTTGGCAACATAGGCAAGGACACCTGTAACTATGACATAAAGCAAAACGGGATGAGCTCCATCTACGAGAGGCACAGGCAGTACGCCTTGAAAGCCCAGAGCAAGCAGTGTGTCCTAAACAGGTTTGGGGGATCCTGCCCTGCACCCAGCCAGTTTCTAGAGATTTATTACTTCCGGTGTCCCTGATGAAGTTCTGGGTATCTGTGGCTATGTTTGTACTATGTGATCATGTCTTCCTGGCCACAGCTGATTGGACTATGGATGACCACCTAATTTTGGATGGGCCAGTCAGATGTCTGTCTGGTATTTTGAATTTAAGAACCTGAGCCAGTTAGCTGTAGAGTTCTGGTTTGAAAAGTCACGCCAAGTTGGGATCTAGTCAGTGTTAGATGCAAGCTGAGATTATAAGGAAGGAGAGATCCTAGGTCAGATGATAAAGTCAGATAGAAAGGAAAATGGTGCTGAGGGGAACTCCAGTTCCCATGAGTCTTGCCTTGCTGGTTTCCATGACATCCATGTAACTTTATAAAGAATTCTTTCTTTTTCCCTTTATGTAAACAATCTTGAGTGGATATCTGTATCTTGTAACCGAAAGAGCTTTGACTAGACAGAGTAAACAGCTGGGCCTTAAAAAAAAAAAAAAAGAACTGGACCTTAAAAAAAAAAAGAACCTAGGAAAGGATGGCAGTGGGCAAGGAGAGCAAAGCATTGCAGGCAAGGACTTGGGAAACAGAATCTGGATCTCACCTTTTCTTCCATTTGGCTTGCTCTTCTTCACCTTTAAGGCTCAGCTCAAGGAGCCCCTCTTCTAAGAAGCCTCCCTGATGGCCCACTCCCAACCGGGCACACTTAATGGCCACCTCATCTGTGTCCCCTCAGCACTAAGTTCATGTCCCTATTTCTGCACATCTTGTTTTGTGCTATCGCTTGTTTAGTAAACTATAAACTCCTCTGGGATGGGGACCTAGCAAAGTGCTGTGCAAAGAGTAGGCACTCAATACATGTTTGAGGAAATGCATTTTAGTGAATCGAGTTGAATTCTAATCAAGACCTCAGTTGTAATACCGGTGGACCCCAGCCCAACTCACACGATGATGCCAAAGTGGTTCCCCAGGAGGTAAGAAGTGTCATCTCTCTGTCTACGATGCTCTCGTTTTTGGAGGAAGGACAAGACCAAAATAATGAAAATCTGCAGGAAAAGAAGATGAGAACATTGGTGGAAATGTTCATCCTCAGCACAGACCTCACTGAAAGACAATGTATGGGTGAGCAGAGTGCTCAGAACACCTATGACTCCTCCAGCTCCAGAATCCATGTTCCTCATAGTTCAGTCCAAGGCCCACTCCATTTCTTACCCAATCCTCTCTTCTTAGATGATGTCATCGATGCCCACACTTTTAATGACCACATATACACAGAAGACTCAAAAACTTGAACCTCCAGTCCAGACCTTGCCCATGAGCTCCAGAACTGTATATCCCACTACATAAACCAAAACCAAACCCATTGCTGTCAAGTTGATTCCAACTCATAACAACCTTATAGGATATAGTAGAACTGCCCCACAGGATTTCCGAGGAGCAACTGGTGGGTTCGAACTGCTGACCTTTTGGTTAGCAGCTGAGATGTTAACCACTGCACCACCATGGCTCCATCCAACTACATAGTTGACATTTATTTTTGATATGTTGAAGACTTCTCAGATTCAGTATATCTAAAAGGGAGCTCATGATTTTCCTGCCTGCTCTGTTCCTTCATCTACTCCAAGCTTGGATCTTTTCTCATTTCCCTTAACTTGTGAATGGCAAGTACCACCATCCTTCCAGTTGTCCAGGTCAGAAATGTAAGAGCTTTCCTCAACCTCTCCCTCTCCCCAGCCTCCTGTATCCAACCCAACACCAAGTCCTATTGTTTTAACTTCCTGAATATCTCAAATTGACTACCAGCTTCTAGGATGAGCTAAAATTGTCTCTCACCCAGACCTCTGCAACAATGGGCCTTCCTGCCTCCTCTCTTGCTTACCGCCAACCTGATCTACACATTGCGACCTGAGCAGTGTTTTAAAAACAAATCTGACCATGCCAGCCTCATGCTGAAAACACTCCAATGACTTCCCACTGTGCTTAGAAGGAAGACAAAACTCCTTAACATAGCCCACAGGGCTCTGCTTGGCCTGGCCTTGCCCATTTCCACGTCAATTCTCCACTACAGCCCATGGGCCTTCTCCCAGTTCCTCACACCCCTCACACTCCCTCCCTCCACAGAGCCGTGGCATGAGCTCTCGCCTTTGCCCGAAAATGCTCTTTACTTCTCTCTTTACCTAGTTAACTCCTGATCTTCCAACAGACCTCAACTCCATCATGAATTCCTCAAAAAACCTTTTTAGATTTTCCTAAAGGCCAGTGTCCTTGACTCCTGGGCCCTTAAAACCTTCTTCTCAGACCTCAGCTATGTGTTTGGTACGCAGTATAGGTGAGCAAGTCAAGGTTTTAGAAGGAAACTCAGTTGATGTCTTTCCCCTGACCGATTCAGTCCTCTTTGGGATCCTAGGTGTGAGAGCAGCCTTTCCCTCCCCTCCTCACCCTTTCCCTACCATTACTTACTGATGGAATGAGAGAGTAATGAAGGAAGAGCTCCAAGTCCACTGAGCTGACACAGGTGGCATTTAGCTGCCTGGTTCTGAAAAACAGGCCAAAAAGCAAAATTCACATCATTGGTCACCGCTGCAGTCATTCAGCCCTGAGCTTCACAATTAGGAGTCAGGCTTGTAGCCCACTAAGACCGTTGGATCTTTTTAAACTTTGCTTTCTCAGAGCCAGTACTGCTCACCTGTGATGTATCTTTCCTAAGCAAATTGATAGACTTTCATATTTCTTTCTCCAGCCTGATTATCTATTCATCTGCCCTGCTGATGGAATTAACACCTTCATTTCCTGGTGTCACAGTCAGGGTAGTTTCAGTTTTTGTGCGGCCCAAAGCTTACAAAATTTTTGGGAGGAGTCTTCTTTAATAAAAATATAAAAATACCTCACTTTTTCACGATGTTCTACCTTGGTGAGTAGCGTCTGGGGTCTTAAAAGCCTGTGAGCAACCATCTAAGATACTCCACTGTTCTCACCCCTTCGGGAGCAAGGGAGAATGAAGAGAACAGGATACAAGGAAAAAATTAGTCCAAAGGACTAATGGACCACAGCTGAGTCCAGTACAGCTAGATGGTGCCCGGATACCACCACTGACTGCTCTGACCAGGATCACAACAGAGGGTTCTGGACAGAGCTGGAGGAGGATGTAGAACAAAATTTTAACACAAAAAAAAAGACCAGATTTACTGGTCTGACAGAGACTGGAGAAACCCCGAGAGTATGGCCCCCGGACACCCTTTTAGCTCAGTGGTGAAGTCACTCCCGAGGTTCACCGTTCAGCCGGGGGTTGGATAGCCCCATAAAACAAAACAGGACTAATGAGGCACAGCAGTCCAGGGACAAGGAGTAGAAGGCAGAATGGGACAGGAAAGCTGGTGATAGGGAACTTAAGGTTGAGTAAAGACAGTGTTGACATGTAGTGGGATTCTTAACCATTATCATAGGGCAATATGTGTACTAACTGTTTAATGACAAAACATTTTGTTCTGTAAACCTTCATCTAAAGTGAGAATAGCAGCACAACTGGAAGAACGTAATCGACGTCACTGAATTGTACATGTAGAAATTTTTGAAATGGTGTATCTTTGACTATGTATATTTTCTCCCAAAAAAAAAAAGTCCTCTAAGACCAAGAAGGGAGTGTGTTGACGAGTCATGGATTATGTTAACCGATGTCATAAGACAATATGTGTACTGACTGTAAAATGAGAAAATATTTGTTCTGTAAACCTTCACCTAAAGTACAATTGAAAAACAAAAACAATGACAACAAAATATATCTCACTTTTTGCTCATGGATAGGCAGACTCAACATTGTGAAAATGACAATTCTACCCAAAGCAATTTACAAATACAACGCAATCCCAATCCAAATACCAACAACAT